CATACATATATAAAAACAAAATCAAAAAAGCAATCTTAATGAATGAAAACCGAGCCAAGAAAAAAAATTATTTAATGTTCCCCTTATTTTCAAAAATACTTCACCAAACAAACTCAAGCTTCAATAATCTCACCATTTCCAAAAATAAAATAAAAAAGTGCTTTTATTAACTTTAAACTGAGCTGACATTTGAAATTATAATTCACAGCTTGTGTTGCTTTACTGCACTGAACTTTGTAATGAGATTTATCTTATCACTTTATTTTTTTTATTATTAAAAACAGTCCGGGGAGGAAAAATTTCCCTGCATTGTGTAATATATTGATACTATCAGCAAATACTTTGTACGAAAAGCAGAATATTAACCCATCCCATCACAGAAGGCAGAGGCACGTAGACTTTAATCCTTTTTGTCTTATCAGCTGCAGTGGAGGCGTACAGTAAACACATCCTGTGTTCCTCTGTTGTCTTGTTAGGCAACATTTCAGGCTCAACGTTTAAAATTATTTTGTAGATAAAATATTATTCACCTRCTTCAATTAGATCTGGGTTTAAGGAACCGAAGGTAAGGATGTTTAAACGTGTAAAACCTGTAACATTAGGTGCATCTGCATTTAAAAATTTTAAAGTTTTTTTAATTAAAAATCTTTTTGGAGTTTTATATCATCATAATATCATTTCTCTCATCAAAAACATTTGCAGAGTGTTGCTTTGACTCATTCATGCATGTTTGAGAAATCCTTGAATCTCCTGTGGTAGACATGCAGAGCTGCGTAAACACTTCCTGTTACAAAGCTCCGCCCATTTATACAAAGCTCCTCCCTGGATCACTTTCTGCAGCAGAGCTCAGGCCCTATACAGCACCCCTCTTTTTAAGCATTGTTATAAAGTCGTACTGAAGTGGGAGCGTCTGAAATGGTAGGAGGTTCTTAAAGAGACAGAGGCTAATTTTAAGGTTTTTAGATAAACTATGATGCAAAATCAAATTTATTTTTAATACATACAGCATTTTTATAACAACTGAAGGTAACAGTTAGATTGATTGTCGGATAAAATGGAATTATGTGCCTGGAAGATACATAACACCCCTTTTAATGCACATTTAATATCTGAATAAATCAGTGAAGGTCATTGTTATTATTGTATTTGTGATTAATCGTGTGCGCTCTTTATATTCATTACTTCGTTCTGTGCGCACTAAGTCCCCCAGCTTTCTAAATTTGCTCTCTGTTTAAAATCTTTCTTCTTTTCAGGCAAGTACATCATCGCAGAGAAGGCTCCAACGTGCATGGGCTGCCCCCTGCCAATCAACGAGGACTCGGAGGACCTGAAAGTTCCTCTTTCTGCCTCCATCTCCAAATTCAACGCCATCTCCAACCACACCCACCTGTTCACCCTGCACAGTGTCGGCCACGCAACCAGACAGGTAGACTCGCTGGGACGATGGGTAACCATTACATTCAGTGATGATGACCGCCTCGTGAATCGTCTCTGCAGGTGATTGCAGGTTTCAGGTTCAAGCTAAGAATCGATGTGAAGAGGACCACCTGCCCCAAGGCAGAACACAAAGACCTCAATGACCTTTGTGTTCCCGATGAGCAGAATGTGGTAAATGCAGATTCAACACAGATGAAATCCAGTTTTGTTCAACTTAAAGTGGTTAGGATTGAGAGGGGTTTTATTTTTTTGTATTTTTGTTGTGTGTTTGCAGGAGTATGTTACGTGTAACGCCACTGTGGACATGGCACCGTGGAGGTTGGAGCAGCCCGAAGTTCATTTACAGTGTGAGCCAGGTGCACTGCCTCCTATGGTGAGTGAGGTCTTATAAAGCAGATTTAATCTTTGCTTGTGTGCTGTCAGATAACTGATACTTTTACATGTTGCACATTTCTAATGTTCAAAAGGGAAAATCAGAAAAGTTTATAAAATTTCATCTTTAAATTATATTTCTTTTGGCATTCCTTGTGGACAGCACAGAATGCTCAGGGAAACATGCTTCCACATTTTAACTAGACATATCCTGCTTTTAAATACTTCCTTTTCACATTTAAATCATTCAGTTGGGGTCTTTATAAAGTGAAACTACAAAGCTTTGGTCTGAATTCCTTCTTATTCTAACTTTATCAGCCCACCTTTTACCCCTTTTCTGGTGTGTGCCTCAAAGCAGCTGGTTTTGTTAATGTTCCTTTAAGATGCTTCAAGCCCCGCCCCCTCCTGCTTCTAGACCGGTCCACATCAGTTTGAGAGAGAGAGGGGGTTACGTTATCTAGCTTGCAGAAATGTTTTATTTACAATATGATCGCTGGGTTGCGGATGATGTAGCATCAACATCATGAACTGCAGACGGAGGACAGGAAGTAAATGCAGCCTCATTTCCTTTTATTAATTCAGCATCAAAATGCCTCAATTCTTTGCCATGTACAGTTGTTGCAACCGCTCTAATCGAGAGAAATATATTTTAAAAATTGCATTCCGAAAGTAGTGTGTCAGAAAAAAGATGACAAAAGTGGATCAACAATCTAAAAACAGGAGGTGCGGAAATGAACAATGCAAGAATTTGCAGCAACCACTTTCTAACAGGTAAGGATCATATAGTTTAAATCAGATTTTCAGATATTTTATTGGACACTTACTGGAATTTGGGTTTACAGAAATTACATAAATACTATATTTTTACAAGTAGATCCAAGCACGTAGAAATAACAGGGGTTAACTCGTCATGGTTATTGATATCGAGTTGATAACTTAAAATAGCACAACTCACTCCTCACTCGGGCAGAAACAAGTCGACAGCCTTTAGCATTTAGGCATTTAAGCATTTAGGATCCAAAGCTTCTTTGGATCCTAAATGCTTGACCCAACCTGAAACTAAATAATTGTAGCTTTGAAGCTTTTGAAAGGTTTCATCTGGCTCATCGTATAATACGAGGTCTGCGGCAGCAGATAGTTTATGTCAATTGCCTCGACACTGGGTAAATCCTCCAGATTATATGACAAGTTTTTTTTATTAAGACAATATGGAACATACCCTAAATGTACGCGTAGTTTTTCACAGTATCCCATCTGCGCCAGCCAGCCCATTTAGGGCATTAGTGTACTCGCTGTGATCCAACCAGAGCAGCAAATCACTTCCTTCCTGCACCCCCCCCCCCCCCC